AACTTGCTGGGTGAACAAGACCCGATCTAACCACAAACTTGGCCACATCCAAGTGCGGTGCGAAACCGAACTCCGAGAACCCCAAGAAAATCGGGGAAGAGGAGCGGTCTCTGGGGAAGCTCAGCTAGAACTCAGTTTGTCACACGATCCATTGGTCTAAATTGAGTGATGCGCGGAAAGTCCAGATTTATTTGGGTAAACTTAGTGCTAAGCGAAAAGTTCAGACTTTGGGCCAATCCACGGGGCGGTGAGATAAGGAGCAGGTTTTAGTCCTTTCAATTTATTCGGGCAACCCATTTGGGGTACCTGTGTTTGATCCAGACCCCATGGCATGTCCTTTAAGGATTTGTATTTCGGGCTTGGGGGGTTGTTGAAATGTTTCGAGAAGAATGGCCGGGGGTGCCGGGGGCTCCCAAAGGGCCGGAAAGTTGAGACAACGTCCAGCTTGCCAGATGAAATGCCTGCAAAAGGGGTGCGGAGAGGAAAGGATACCAAAGCCTGCGGTCCAAGATTGCTTCTTGGGGCAGTAGCACATATTCATATTTTGTCAGCATTGGGGCGGGGGGGGGGGGGGTTGTCTAAATGGTGACGCAAACGACCAACATGCTTCGTCAAGTTTACGGCTCTTTTCCGTCCCTTCACATCCCCCCGCAACCCAGTTGTTCAGTTCACGAATCGTCTGCAAAGCGGCCTGGTGGTTCCTCTTCTTTTCAACCCTTTCTCCAAAACGAGCGAAGGGTTTTTCAGTCTGAATTCAGGATCGGACGCGATTTCTAGGTCACCTCAAAGTACTCACCAAGATTGGGGTATTGCCTCAAGTTATAGTTGGGTGATGTCCCATGTTTAAGATGCTGCTGCTCAATGGAAATGAAGGAATGAACCCATGGTCACCTTAAAAGAAGCCACCTGGATGGTTTTTATCGGGGTCATTCCATTTCTGGTTTCCGACTGAGCACCGTTTAGGAGTGGGGGTTGGTACGGCACGGAAGCGGGCCGTTGGCCTCGGGGCAAGCCGAGGCCACACAAAAGGCGCTGGAGGTGACGCAACAAGTTGCCATAGAGGCGAGGAGTTTCCGGCGATTTGTGGGACCGGGGGGGGGGGGGAGGCAGATCACGATGGGGGAGGGGGAGGGGGGGGGGCGCATAAAAATCGGAAGGTCATTGTTCAGGTTCGGAATGTTGATTTGCCCAATTTGCCAATGGTTTGCATTTGGAGAACTTGATGCCCTTTTCAGAGTGGTTTGAAAGGGAAACCGAAGGAACAATCAACAAGCATGTTTTGTTTCGGGGTGCCCTATTTGAGACACATCCATATGTTAGTTGCATTTTCCGCGTGCCAAGTTTTGTTGTGTTATCTTCTTGTTTGGCTGGTTGGTTGGCTGGTTGGCTGGTTGCCTAGTTGACTGGTTGCCTGGTTGGCTGGTTGGCTGGTTGGCTGGTTGGCTGGTCGGCTGGCGGGCTGGCTGGTTGGCTGGCTGGTTGTCGGTCAGTTGGTGGTATTTGTGTGCTTGTGGAGTCAGCAGTATCCGTTACTGTGCACGGTCTTCCATTTTGTACGGCTCTGTTTTTCCGCAAGCTGACTGTGCAGTGAACCTGAGGCTAAATTAAAGCCAGAAACTAGTGTTTCTCTTTAACCTACCTCTTGGGGGGTGACTTCGATAGTAAAATATTGGTGCCAGAAGTATTTGGAGTAGTATTTGGGTTTGTCTTGTTGTTTGAGTTGGTTCGTTTGGGGATGCCGCACGGGTTTCTCTTGGGTTCAACAAACCGGGCTGTACCACTTGGGCTGATTGTTTTCCTGGGATTTGTGTCACATGGAACCCATTTTGCTTGGGGCGATTTCCCTGGATTTGTTTGCACGGAACCCCAAAAACGGGCTTCCCCACTGGGTGTTTGCTGGCTTCCACTCTGGTCGCCTGGTTTCAGGAGGAGAAGATCCAGTCAGAGAGGAAGGAGGTGCAGGAGCATTCAGATGCACTGGTGCTGAGAGACTACTCGGGGTCAAAGGATCACCCAAGGCAAAAGTTTAAAAAAGAGCAGAAATCCACATAAATCAACGAACAGTTCCCGTCGGTTTATTTGAGATGTATCTTTGGGTGCACGACTTTTGGACTCTGTATGGCCATACAAAAGGGCGGGGAATTCAGCCATCCCAGCCCAAATTTATGCCACTTGCATCAAGTGAACTAGAAGGTATAGAACCTTCCGTGTTCTAGGGTCGCCTTGCTTGATGTAGATACTCCAAAAAAGCTGGGGTTCCACCGATAAGTGCCTCGCATCATGGTTGCAATGGTCCTTCTAGGCGGCATTGCGTACCCTCACCGCTCCCTCAATTCAGATCTGCTCTTGCAGGGAACCTGGCTGTCTGCTGAACGGAACGCAAAAGCGAGAGTCGCTCGAGTCAACCCTTGCAAATCATACGCCGATGAACTATCCGCATAGAATATTTGCCGCAACTGAGCACCTTTTGGTAAAATAAGACAACCCAGGTAAACGTGTCGAACATGCTGGCAATCAGATATATGAGCAACGGACAACTCACTCCCTGGTCTTTACACTTTTTGGAATGACCATTTAAGTGGCAAACAACAACTTGGAGCTTTTTCTGGCCAACCCACTCAGGAAGTGAGACAAATATGTCTGGAAGATTTCAGGTTTCAGGAGGCCTGAGTGTTGCAAGTTGAGGCTGGTGGGTTGCTTCTTTTTCAACTTTTGTTGGGGTGGTTTTCCTTTAACAGCAAGCACCTGGAGTCTCCTTCTGACCCAAGGGCAACAAACATGGGGTCAGCCCTTTCTTGAGACACCCCTTTCTTTTGAGTACTTGTGTTTTCGGCCAGGTTGGTAAGTTGTTCGTAACATAGGTCAACATCCACTTTCAGAGTGGGGTTTCTCTTGTTTTTGGGGAGGTTTACCCCAATTGGCTGACCACTTACAAACCTGGCGGGACATCCAAGTACTGACCCCCCACTTGGGTTTCCGAAACAAAAAAAACAGACACACACACGGCGCTCGTGCCCGGCGGCGGACCCGGCCGACAGGAGCTCAAGAAGGAGGTCCAGTCGCTGCCACCCCCGGACCCCAGGGTGGGCATGATGCGCCAGCTCGGTGAGGAGCAGGCGGCGAGCGGCGGCGCCCAACCCACGTGGTTGGCGGCGGGTGAGGGTCAGAGGGACCCAGGAGCCGTAGGAGTTCTTGTTGCTTTGGCGAAACATGGATGGTGTTTAAGGCTAGCTTGGTTAGACATACGGATCAGAACATACGGTGACGACTTTGAACAATTACAGGGGCCAGGGCTTTAGGGCCCTGAGGAAGTGTAAATCGTGTAAAAACCAGATATTTACAGTGGCCAGGCCACCATCAGGGGCTCTGGGTATGAAAGATTTGTTTGAATCGGGTCAGATCCCTTCCCCCTAAGCATAGGAGGCATCAACAGCTACTTCGTGCCCCAACGGAGTCTGCCCCAACGAGCCCTGCAAGCCTTCCAGCTCAGCTGGCAGCCCTCCAGCCCAAACATCGGATGCTCAGGTGCCTTTCTTCTGCATGCAGAGTCCCTACTTAAGACTTAAGTCGGCGGAAACCCCAGAGGCAGTAGCCTAGGGAAACGCGTCCGGATTTTTGCATGACGTATCACATCAGCGAAGAGCTGAGGGCCATCAAAAGGCTTGGGTTACGCCGAAGAACCGCCGCAAGTTGGCATGAGCGAATGCAACCTTGCTCCCAGCCATCCGGTTCCTCAGCTTTTTGGCCCTTTAGTGTTTAGTGGAGGTGTCCATTTCACCCACCAAAAGTGAGTCACTTTTGGCGGGGGATCAGAAATCGGACAGCCCAGCAACTTGGACCAAAACCAAGCGCCTCTGCCTGTAGTCACCCAACCCTTTGAATGCCTGGCACACGCAGATGGGTTCCTGAAAGGATACCAGCTTTGCCAGCTCATATATAGAAGATCCCTTATGGTTTGCAAGGTTTTTCAGTGTATCCTTTTAGGAGCCCTGTGTATGTTCAAACATGGTGGCCACCTTCGTTGTTGCGAGTCGCCTTTTAGGGATTGATAAACTAGGCCTTCTGACAGCTGGGGCCTGGTTGGGAGTTCTCTGCAGGTGGAGCTCATGAAGAAGAGCGCCTCATTTGCATTGAGGTGGAGAGGTGAAGGGCTAGGGGGATGGGGGGGGGGTTAGAGGGATAAACCATGGTTTCCTTTAAGGGAATTCCTAGGTCCAACACCCTGGGTCAAAATACTGTGGATAGTTGCAAAATCTGATGTTCGCACCACGAGTCATGAAACCATGGTCGAAACCATAAGGTTTGTTGGTATTTCCGTTATCCAGGGTTTCTGAACCCATCCACCTGTACTGTATGTCTGACCCTTTCTTTTACACTTGGCCCATGTGACCTGTCTTCCTCTTGTGCGTTTCCCTTGCTCTTAGGTTTCACTTAACACCCAGAAAGGATCATGGGGGTTGAGCCACAGCCATTTGGGTGGCTCGTCTTTTTCTGACCGCCCGAACATGGCGGTGTTCCTGTTTGGGGGTTCCCCATGAACACAGACACACCCATATGGACACATGACTTTTTGCGGGGCAAACGCTGTACCTGTCTTGTGGGGCCTGCGTACAGCGTTGCTTCCTGATGTGCTAGGTCACCAGGAGTGCCCTTTCACCGTTTCATTTTTTTGGGGCAGAGTTCCCCGACGGGCTTGAGGCAAGATCGTGAAGGAGCGCATCACAGTCATCCAAGGCCGCAAGAAGATGTTGAAGATGGAGCTGCGGGAGCTTTACAGGACCTGAGCTTTGACCCAGTGCCAGCCGCATGGCGCGTCGGGTAGAGGAGCCACGATCCTGACCCTTTGCCATTTGCAGATTCAGGGACCTCTTTGCATGAGGTTTCATTTGCCATCCTGGATGTTTCGTCGCGCAGTTTCGTCGCTGCCTTTGCCGTTCGCTCCATCCTGGGCCAGAATTCCATGAGCTCCGCTTCAACAGACGAGCGATTTGCTCGGTGCCATGCTGTAGCCAACGATAGCCAACGCCTTCTGTTCCTGTACCGTGTGGTGCGAAAACAAAATATGTGCTGTCATCGAATCTGAGGAAGCACCCTGGGCTTCTCGTTGGTCCGAGCACGCCATGTATCTAAGGCTCGCACTAGGCTCCCATTTGCGGACCGGGCGATTGAGCCTTTGAAACTCTTCGAGGTGTTGGCTCCTTTAAGGCCTCAATGTTACCACAGGTGAGGCGGTCTTTTTTCAGAGCCCAAAAAACACCATCCCCACCAAGTTGGTTGAAAATCCAATCACTTATATTTTTGTCAAGTTTTACAGGTACCTTTTTTGTCTTATATGGGAGACCAACAGGAAAGCCACCATTTGTTGTATTTTATGTTTTTGCTATTTCTAGGCGACAAAAACAGATAAACCCATATTCCCCATACTCAGTTGGTCGAGGATCCAGGTTGGCGTCATGTCGGTTCCTCCGCTTCGAATCCTTCGCAGGATCCTGAACTGGGACTGGGAAGACTCCAGCTCGGAGGAGGAGGACGATGGGTTTGGTGGTCTTTCAAGGGGTCTGGTGGGGTTCTCACTTATGAGTTTCTGGACTTTAAAAGCTTTTTGGGGTTGGACCATTTTAGTTGGCATAACTAAGAGTTCAGATTGTTCGTGGCCAGGGGTTCTTGTGTATAAGGGCGTATCCAATTTCCGACGTTCAAGCAAGCTGACAGGGAAGACGATGTTCCTCTTGGGAATTTTACTATCCACTTTCATGTTGAAAAGATGATAAGCCTTCGTAAGTTTATCCGTCTGCCAATTTGAGAGCAGCTCACCTAGGTGTAAAACGTACTCACAGTGATGTACGAGGTCCTTGGCTGCTTGGGGATTCCTTATTTCAGGTTTTGGAATTATTGTACACTTTGCAGATAAGTGGCAGAAGCAGAAAGGCAACAGCATTGAGACTTATCTCACCTAGACGATTGGGGGCTTGCCCACTGAGTCTACTTCGCAGCCTCGGGACATGCTATTCTGGGGTTACAATGAGCTCACCCTGATACAGGTCCTTGTTTTGGGAATCCCTCAATTCAGCCGTTGGAATCATGGTCATATTTGCAGATCAAACATGCACACCCACGCTATGTTGAAAGGGTTTGGTTACAGGGAAATCTGCAGGACATGGCCCCCAAAATCCCGCAAATCGGCTGTTTCCTGAAAAAGCATCCTGTAACCATCGGTGTCCTTTTTCGGTCAGTGTGCTCAAAAAGAGATGACCCTGGTTCAGGTGGCTTCTATTGCACATACCAGGGCCATCGTTTTTTTTCTCCAAAAGGACACCTATGCCTATAACCCAAGCCTTTGACATGTTGTCCCAGCCACAGAGGAGGGGGATAAGCCCTACTGGCTCCGCAAGAAGCTCGCGCAGAGCACTGCCTCGGATGACATGCCCTTCAATGGGTGCCTCGGGTTGTCGTGTGTTGGTGTTTCTCAACATGGGCGTGGGCCACAAATAGGTACCTGAACCCTCAAATTCCTCCCAACAAATGGGTTATTGCAACCCAAAGCTCTGGGGTGCTTTCCCTCTTTCAAGGGCAGTTGGGAGTCCAAGTGGAGATGTGTCAAGAAAACAACTGGTGTGTTTCTATTGGTTTAATCGTAAGCCTACCACCGAGTGCCCTCCAAAAAAGCACTGGCTGCCGACTTCTGTCTGAGGAGTCACTTCCTGAACGATGAGAAGGCGGCGCTCGAACGGCGGTTGCAGAAGCGCAAGAAGGACCGGCGAATGGGGAATCACGCGGGTGGCTTTGTGTATTTTGGATTTACCCCCGCGATGTTGGTTTTCCTCTAAAACCGCCAAAACAGGGATACACTTAAACTAGACACACCCATATTCAGCCAATGTGTGTTTGTTTGTTGTTTTGCGAGGGTACCGTTTTCGCATTGGTGTTTAAGGGGAACCAAAAGGAAAGTCACCATTTTGGGAGGCCCCGCATGTTGACATGCGCCTGTGTCAAATCAAAACAACCAAAGGGGAGCCACAATTTTGGAGACACACCTCATCTTGTATCCCATTCAAATTTGGTTTCAATCATGCATTCCAATTGCCATCCTACAAGTATTGATGTGCTAAAGCTACCCATCAGCCCCCGGTTTTTGACACCCTGTCCTTTTCAAGTTGTTGCGACAGGAACACATGACCTCATGGCGTGTTCTTTGTGTCCCTTTCAGGTTGGTTAGAGGCACAGACCTGGACGGGTTTGAGGGATCCGGGGAGAGGTGTTTGTCTGTGTGTTTCTCATGGTTACTTACTCCGCACGAGGGGTGTGTGTCTCTGTGTGTGTGTGTGTGAAAGATGCTTCTTCGAAATCCCAAAAAGGCACCCCAAAATAATTGTGACACCGAGGTAAATGACCAAACAACAGGACCACGTTCAATCCATCTTTAGTCCCATGGTTACTTCCCCCAGTGCTTTGAGTTAGCTTTACAGTAGGTAATCCTTCAGGATCCTTGCCTCTAAGCTGTACTTGATGGTTTCCAATTAGCCAACCTACTTGGGTTGTCGGCCAAGTTAGTATTATAAGTTGTTGGCAACCTAGGTTCTTCTCCACTTATACGTCTGCCATTTGGTGGCGTAAACAGTTGGTATTAGGGGGGGTGAGCAACCCCAGGAGACACTGGCCTGGCGAATCGAAGATCCAACCATAAAGCTTACCCAGATATGGGTCTGTCCCGTATTTTTGTGTGCTTGTTTAAATGGGACACCAAGAAGAAAGCCAGCATTTGTTTGTCTAGGTCCCCCAGTAGTGCCCTTCTCACCCTTTTTGGGGGAGGGGTCCCCTGCTAGAATGGACTACAGAAAAAAGTTGGTACCCTTATTCTAACCTCTCTACTGGAGGACATTTGTTTGTTTGGTGTTTTGCTTACCCTGATTTTGGGATCGCCCATTTCTTTTTGTGTGTTTGTGTGTTTGTGTGTTTGTGTGTTTGTGTGTTTGTGTGTTGGTGTTTTGGTGTCTTGGTGTGTTGGTGTGTTGGTGTGTGGGTGTGTGGGTGTGTGTTTGTTTGTTTGTTTGTTTGTTTGTTTGTTTGTTTGTTTGTTTGTTTGTTTGTTTGTTTGAAGGGACACCAATAGGACAACCATCATGATTGTTGATGTTTTTGTGAGGGGCACCAATACGATTTTTGGTGACCCCCATTTTGGGACCCCCGTTTTTGTGTGGATTTTAAAGCGCGCCAAAAAGAAAACCACCCTTTTTAAAGAACCCCCCATTTTGGGACCTCCCCCCTCAATGTTGCGTGTGTGTGTGTGTGTGTGTGTGTGTGTGTGTGTGTGTGTTTTAAGGGGAACCAGGAGCAAACAAAAGCATTAAAAAAAGCCATTTGTTTGTTTTTCCCCCAAAAACATTTGTGTTTTTTAAGGGGAACCAGGAGCAAACAAAGCATTCAAAAGCCATTTGTCTGTTTTTCTTCAAAAACAGTGTTTTTTTTACGGGGAACCAGGAGCAATAAACAACATTTGTCTGTTTTTGGGGGGGAGACATTGATCCAGGTGGAGAAGCTGCGGGCCGCGGCGCGGCTCCTGGCCATGCTGCAGGCGAAGCGCTGCGCGGTGCCGGACCCGAGCCCCAGCCCGCCCAGCCATTCGCCCGAGAGGCGCGGAACGGGAGGGGGGAGGCGGGTGCGGGGGAGGCGGGTGGGGGGGAAGCGGGTGGGGGCGGGGGGAGAGGGGAGAGGGGGGAACCCTAAACCCTAAACAAACCCTGAACCGGGGGGGAGAGGGGGGAGGTGATCTGAAGCCTCGAGCTTTTCCCATGGATGATTGGTCATTGCTCCGCAAACAAGTGAGGTGGTTTCCCCTTTTTTGAGGGTAGTTTTGAGGGTCCGGGTGGGCAGAAATTCGCTGCCATGCAATGGCTTCGTTTTGAGGTTCGCTCAAGTTGGACGACACCCTGCTTGGATGTTTGGCTAAGTTAGCAAATGATTCGATTGGGGTATAGCCCCATCATAAGGCTATAACCTAGGGTACCAGCAACGTGCGCACTTGACCGAACACCCAAGTCCCGCGTCAGAAAGGACCCTCCATTTGTCAGGGGTCGAAGCGGACCTCCATTGGGAGGTATATAAACCTGATTGAATGGCCTTTTTGAGGGCCCGTGACCGATGCTTAGGGCGGTGTGCCCCCCTTTCCTGTTGTGATCGGACACTTCACTGCGCAGTGGCGTTTTTTCTTCTCAGAGATCCATCGAATCTTCCTTTAGCGGGCGCACCATGCCGGTGCTGCCTTCTGCCGGCCGTTGGTTCCTCTGCCTGTGGCTTCATCAGCCAGTGCCAACGGGTGTTTCCTTTCCCCGGCAGGTATGCTACTGGAAACAACTGTGTGAAGTTAAGAACACAGTCTACAAGTTCACATCTACGAAACCCATCAAATGAATCCGACTCCCTTTCTGTGAGCTTAGATGCATTTATTTGTGAGAATTTTTTTTTCGGAACCCAGGCAGATGCCAGCCCGCCGAAACTCCCTTAATTCCGCCCGAAGGACCGATGCGAGTCTTCCCATCGCAGACAGTTCCAAGACCATGGAAATCAAGACGACGACCTGGGAGAGCAATGTGTTGCCCTTCAAGCAGGACCGACAAGGGGTGGGCGGTCTGATTTGCCCGACTTGGATCCAGGACTTTGCGTTGGGGTAAAGGGGTCTTGATCGGGTTTTGAACCTCGAAGAGGCCCTTTTGCAGGGTTTCCTTTATGTCCCTTGTCGGTACTGGACACAACTATAGTAAATTTGCAACTTTGGAAGGGGCAATCCAGTGACCCCCTGTTGAGGCGCCAAGGTTCTCAGAGCTCTTAAACCTGTAATCAGGTTTTCTCCGGAGAACGTTTCTCACTGGGAGACGCCTTCCGCTTGCGATTCAACCAGGACTTGCCTGGTGAGTCCGTGTCTCCTGTGCGCAAGGAGGTGCTCGGGTGTGGCCAGGGGCCAGGTGAGAGATATGCGAGGCTAGGATCTTAAAGGGAGGCTTTTGACCGCTTTCCATGCGTCATCTGAAAATATTCACTAGGTTCTCGAAGGGAGGCTTTTCCATGCGTCACGTCCTCTGAAACAGGCGCCATTCATCTTGGTTTGAACTATTCTTGTTACTTTTGTCGACACATTGATGCTAGGTCGTCTTGTGCATGGCGTGTCTTGCGCATGAGGTCGTCTATGTTTGCAACCAAAGCTTCAACAACGCTGGCTTTACCAACCTTTGATGTTTGGCTCCATGTTAGTTGACTTTTGAAGGGATATGGGTATGTGTCGAATTCGGTGTAGTAGCCCCTACCTAGGGCTTCAAGAACCTGCAAAAATGTCGTACCCTGACTAAAACATTGTGTTTTTCTTGATTTTCTAAAAACATCGTGTTTTCAGGAAAAACATCGTGATTTTGATAAAACCCCTTAAAAATGGGCTTCTGAGGCCAAACACTCATTTGGAGCAGAGGGTCAAAGGCAAGGGTCGGGAGTGAATTCACACAGGCATCACCCATTAAGATTTCAACTGAGGGCAACGCTCTATACTGAGTATGCTTCAAATTCTAAGGACCACATTGATTAGCCTGACAGCCAGGGTGTGCAGCTGGCTTCAGTCTTGAAGTACCTTTCACAGCAACAGGCACCTGAAGACTGGCGCCAGGTCATACCGAACCAGTTTGAAGGAGGTGCTGGAATCCGAAAGCTCTTTTTGGTACAAAACAAGACCAGGTGACACCTTTTGAGATTGTTCTTATAAATTTTGAGGTTTTCTTAGAAAATGGGGCGGGATCCTGGCGGCTAACCGCAGAAACCCGTAGAACACCCGTAGAAAACCCGTAGAAACCTGTAGAAAACCCGCAGCCCCAACCGAAAACATCGTGTTTTTGGAAAACATCGTGTTTTCTAACCCGTAGCTAAACCGTGGAAAGCCCGTAGTGAAGCGTGGCAAACCGTGGAAATTCTTTGGGTTATTCGGGTTCAACCACGAATGCGCTAATTCAAGAATGTTGCTGGAAAACAATCAAGTCGTGAGCAAAAGCACGGTCTTTGCTTGAGCTTGCGCGCAGTTCGAAGCCAGCACGCCCTCATCATGGCATTGCTGCTTGACAAGTGTCATAAAACCGTGGTACTTTTGACTATTTGGGTCCCCGGCCTCCTTCTTTCAGATTGGAGTTGCGAAAGACGAGTGGCGAATGCGAAGCTGATTTTGTTACGAGCGCAAAAGGGGAGGGCGATGGGAGATTCTGAGGTTGAGATGATGCTTTTGAGACCTTTTGAGAACGGATGACGAGTTGAAGGAATGTATGGGAAAATGCTTGAAATCGAAAATGCGGTGTTCCCGAAAACATTGTGTTTTCCCAAAAAACATCGTGTTTTTTGTAGGTATGACATTTTCATCGGTTTTGAGGTGCCTGGTAGTGGTAACTTGTGAATTCCTTTGAAACCACCCCAAAAAGTGGTACAGTACAAAAAATGGGCGCACCTTCCCCATTCTTTCCAGGGATCCTTCTTTTCAGGAAACCATCAAAACCCAGGGGAAACAGCTGGTTATTGAAAATAACGGTGGTTGCAAATAATGGAAAAGGAATCAACCCCACGCCCCGTATAAGCGCTATGTATCGCCTAGGGATGACCATCGCCTTCCATTCTTTCGCCGCAGGCGGTACGCTGGAAAGAGCGGCCGAAGAGCGTCCGGCTGAAGGAGGCGGGCGACATGGTGCACCTGGATTCGTTTGACTCGAATCAAAACGGGGGTCAGTACCAAGAAAGGGGGTCAGTACCAAGAAAAGGGGTCATGAGAATCCTCAAATCCCCTTCCGCTTCATTCCTAAAACGTTCATTCCCCGGTGCACCCTCTCCCTTGTCGTTCCTTTAGAAAAAACAACTCTCCAAAGGTGATTTCCCGAAAGGAGACCACAGGGCGGATGAACCTAGGGAATGAGGAATTTGGGAATGTAGCGAAAGAGGATCCCCTTGAATGCAACCACAAGTTGGATGGTTCAGGCCGGGGTCATTCCAACTTGTTCGCACTTGAGTGCCTCCCAGAAAGGGAAGACCCCCTCAAGACTGCCAGTTGCATTGAACTGGTCAGCAATACCGCTCAAGCACACGTGAATTTTCAGGGAAGCCGTTTTCAATGGGTGTTAAAGGAAAACCCACATTTTTGAGTAGGTCACAGGTGGTTCCAATATTTTTTCGAGGTACCTTGGATTTTTTTGTGGGGGGGGCAGCGGACCTCGTGAAGCGCTCCATTTTGGGGACTCGTTCCATTTTCGCGCGGCGTTTCGAGGCTTTGGAGAAGCAGCTGCAGACCGCCCGCGGGGAGTTGCCTCGCCTGGAGATGCCCCGCTTCGAGCGGCGCCTGGAGCTGGACGTTGCAGGCGGGGGTTGGGGGCAGCTCGCGGCGGCAGGTTTTGGGTCGGCGGTTTTCTGGGGCGTACGTGTCTCAAAAACCCCGACCATTGTATTGCCCTTTACCAAAAGGAGGCCTCTCGGAGACCCTTTTATGTCAGATCAGGTTGGTTTTTGCTTTTTGGTTCCTTTGTGAATCCACTCCCAAAAAGGGTATTGGCTTGGCGAATGGGTTCACGATCCAGGGGCAATTCCAGTGCGGCTGTTGTGCAGAGATTGCAGGGCACTAGCTTTGCGAGCCTGCGTTTGCTATTTGTGAAGTTGTGCTACATATCGGCCCAACATGAGAATTCCAAATACTGTATCAAAATTAGTGAAACATTATTTCACGTCTCACTCCTCGGCGAAGCTGGCCAACTAATCTGTGGCTTCTCATAGAGCTCAATGACGACTGGCTTTTTCGGCGCTGTGCGAGCGAACTCTTCTGCAACCATTGGCACAGCAATGAGTGGGTCTCGCAAGTCTCTGGAGGCGAGGTGAGTTTCAAGCACTTGGATGTATAGGCCTTTTCCTTTGTGCATTCGCAGGTTCGTGCAGACCCATGTTGACACCTCCAACAGTGCGGACTTTCTACGACCGCAGCTTTCTTGTGATGAAGGGCAGCTGTGCAGCTGGGGTGTACGAGCAGCACGTCAGACAGATTCTGGCGCCCGGGGACTGCCTTGTCGCCAGGATGGCTCGGGGATTGTTCAACGAGCAGGAAGTCCCATCCTGCGCGGCTTGCGCGAATCATCCAACGGCGCCACTTCCCCAAGCAGAATGCCCTGAGCATGGTGGAGATTCCCTTTGCCTGGCGCAAAGGATTCCAGCCTCGGAAAAAAAACTCTTGAGCCGCACCAAGCGCATCAGGACCCGTGTCAGCTTCAGGTCGCTGGCACACTCGCCAGGAATTTCCCATCGGCCCGCCCCGCACTTGGAGGTGCTACGGGAAGCGGATCGTTGCTTCTACACTGCGCTTATGCGAACATGCCCATGTGGATGCCCCCTCCTTCCAGGGAGCCCTCGCCCTGATGGTGATGTTGTGGATCTTGGGCCTTCTGAGCCTTGACGCTGGTTTCGCGACACAGCTGCTGGAAGCAGCTTCTCCTTCGCTGACTACTTGCGCGCTTTCCTGCGTGCAATTGGTTTTGACCTTCGGGTTCCCTTTCAGGCGGGTCGTGCAGCGCTCTCAGTGGAAGGCTGTGCTTGAGCGCAGAAGTTGGCATATGTGAAGCTGGTTCCTGGCAAGCGGCACAGCCCCAATATCTCAGACTCCCGCCAGCCCCGGCCGGGAAGGACGGATAGGCAAAACCTCCAGCGGCACTGGGCCAAGATATGGTGACCAAGCAAGTGTTGTCAGTGGGTTTCAATTGGCGAGTTCAATGATGTTATGTTTTCTTGTTTGTACATATATATATAATACATATAATATATATATATATGAGCCTTGTACAGCAAGTGCAACGCAGCCCAACCTGTCTCCCGCAAAGGGCGGATATCCAGGATGGCGCTGGGCGTTCGACCTGGGACAGCTGTTGCTGTGCCAGCTCATCCAGGTCGCCCAGTGCCCTTTGTTACCCTTGGTTGGTTGGGAGGGTTCCCCTATTTAAGGGCTCATTCACCAATTTTTATATAAAGGGTCAGAAGGAGACTCCAGGTAGATGTTTGTTGCCGACCTGTGGGCTTGGCGAGTGCTCCATGAGTGCCGGACGCTTCACCCGGCGAGCCAAGGCTCCAACCGAACCGCCGTGAAAGCGGCCGACATTGCAAACCTGGATCATGGTGTCGTGTGGTTCAACAAGATGGGTTTCTATAAAACCCAAAAACACGTCGTTGTGGTTCTTCTGTTTTTTTGTTTGAACAACAACATAATAATAACAATAATAGTAATATATAGTATAACAAATGATAATAATAATAGTAATAATGATAATAATAATAACAATAACGAAAACTATGTTGTTTCAGGTTGTTCGGGTACGCACAGCTTGCAACATGGTGATCGATCTCTTGCTGCGCTCGCCAGCCGCAGGTCAGAGTGATTACCGCGACTTTGAGGACGGGGCAGGGGTGCTGCGCCGTTGTCTCCTTTTGTCGACTGCCCTGCGCTGGCTACAGAAAATATGCGAAGGCTTCACATGCATGTGAATCATGTGAATATGAGTGTATGTATATATATATATATATGTTTGTACATACATATACATATATTTGTATAATATATACATATTTGAATAGATATACATATGTGTCTTTCTAGGTATATGGCGTGGTCACTGCATGCATAGGCTGCAAAGGAGGGGGCTGGTCAAGGGACCCTTCCACTTTCCTAGAAACTCCCATACAATGCAGAGTCTGTCAATGTGGAGTGATTCCTCCAGTGACGCAAATGAACATGGAGTGCCACACCCGGGTTTGTGACCTTTCAACGACTCTCCTTTTGTGGGACCGGACCTGTTTCTTGGGTTTCACGTGAATCCGCGGAGTGCTATGATTATGATTATTATTAACAATCACATGGGGTCATGACCCCAGTCTGTTGAGTAACCCTCATTGTTGTAAGGGTCCTTCCGGAGACTCCAGGTTAATTTTACAGGGTCCCACTGCCAACCCAAAAAAGAATGATTTGCTCCCAACCCCAAAAACAAAACACAGATTTGCTCCCCAGGCACGCATTCTTGACCAGCGGCCTCCCCCTGTGCGGCACAAACCCTTGGAGCCCGCCGGGCGGTCGCACAGGCGCGGGACCAAAGCGCCCGCCAGCAGAGCCGGCGCTCGAGCCTGGATAGCCCTTCGGAGTCTTGGACGAGCGACCATTTTTTTTTTGGGTGGGGGGATTTGTGTTGTTGTTGTTTTTTTTTTTTGGGGGGGGTCTGCTGCAGGGGTGACGTCCAAAAGCGACATGTTGACTTTTTTTTGCCGAACCGATTTAACTACTTGTTGCTTTTTTTGCGGGGGGGGGGGGGCAGGGGAAGGTCCAGCTGCAGGGGTGAGCTTAAAAATTAAATTCAAAGAATATTTGTTTGGGGGCGGGTTCTAGCTGGAGGGGTCCCTTAGTTTCCTGCAGAGCCCCAAAAGTGATTTCAAAGAAACCCACCAGCAAATTCCCTCAAGTTTTGGCAGGGTTTGTCGTCTTTTAAATTTTAGGACTTGGACGACGCCAATGGCGCAATCAAGAAAACAACGATCTCCCCAGTTGGGATTGTGCTTCTGGGCCTTTTGCCACAGGCTTGCCAAGGCTTGCAAGAGATCCTGAGGTTTCACCAATGATCTTTTTTTTGAGACACCCAGCTAGTAAAGGAGGTGGGAGCTATATCCAAATATACACATGTCAAGGTGTTCTGTTTCTTCTCCATGGTATATTTGGCACCCTGCTTGGGTCAAACCCCGGTATTTGGCCATTGTTCGGTCAACTGGCAAAGTACCAACAAAAGAGCCGGCCAAACCTTTCGTTCTGTTTTTCCCTGTTGGATTTAACGGGATTCACTTCACATATGTTGCTTTTTCCAGGGACGAAAAAGCAAATGGGTCTGTCTTTGTTTTGTTTGAGGAACACCAAAAGTAAACGACCATTTTGGGGAGGTTCCTTTAAAAAGGGCCACTCTCAAATGGAGGGAACATTGTACCTGCACCCTCAAGCTACCTAAAAAACACAAAAAATATGTTCCCAGAACAAAATATGGGGCAATGGCCCATTTTTGTCGGGTAGTTTGGGGGTCCAGGTACCCTTATATATATATAACATCAAACAAAACTCTTATATATATATATATGTATATGTAAAAAAAAAAAAAAAACTCAGCTTCCCAAACCGTCCGAGGAGCGCCTTCCGGCTCGGCGCCGGGCGCAAAATCGGACGACGGCGGGGGGGACGCGCCCAGAGGCGCCCGCCAAACGTGCGGCATGCCATTTTGCCGGGACCCCGCCCCAAAAAACAAGTGTTTGTTTTTTGTTGTTTTTTCTCTTGGGGAGGGTTGTTGTTGGTTGATTTTTGAGTCCCACGAAAAAAGGGATAGCCTCAAAGAAAGGCAGCCCGAAACGAAACCAATGTTTCTTTGAGGATTTTCAGAACCGTAGGAAATGGCGACTTCGGGTAGTGGACCCTTGGAAGGTGGGAAGGTTTCTTTGGGAGTTCTTCCTTTCGAGGTTGCTTGCTTGCTTGCTTGCTTGCTTGCTTGCTTGCTTGCTTGCTTGCTTGCTTGCTTGCTTGCTTGCTTGCTTGCTTGCTTGCTTGCTTGCTGGTTGGTTGGTTGGTTGGTTGGTTGGTTGGTTGGTTGGTTGGATTGGTTGGTTGGTTGGTTGGTTGGTTGGATTGGTTTCTTCCAGAAGGAAGTGTTGTTTTTTTGTCTGGACATCCCAAGGAAAGAACACCAACCTTGAAAGGGGTACCAATCAAAAACAAAATAAACACACACAAATACAAGGACCACGGAGACCACACAACACCCGTGCTTGGGGTCCCATGTTGACACAAGGGGACCCCAACATGCTGTATTTAAACATAACAAACCCCCAATGCAGAGGAGAAAAACCGATGATTACTGCCCGATACTAAGGTTGTTCTCGTTAAAGGCCAAAAACAAGAACGGCCCAGATGATATATCTCTTTTTGAGGGGTACCCCTTTTTGAGCTCCGTTTTGAAACCAACCCACGGTGGGTGCAAGTATATCGCAATTCTTTGATGGTTTAGTCATTCCCTCTTTAGTCACGTGCATATCTGACACTCCGTGGACTTGAAATCCACGCGACTCGATAGGAACCAGTTGGTTTATCCCTACGATTTCGCTTTGACACTTGAGCTTCAACTCAAAAAACACAGGGAGCCAGGCAAAAGCAAGCCACCGACTATTGAATGGTGTTCCCACAAGTCAAACACTTTTTGAGGCAGAAAAGTGGCCGCCGCGCCATTTCGGTTGGTTCCACATGGCCATGGGTCAAAATCCAATTCGTACCCCCAGTGAACATCCCAATCCATCCGCTAAAATAGGTCCTAAAATGGGTGGTGAATTCACCAATCCCAACCAAAATGGGATCCGATCCAAAACGGTCTAATGACCACCACAGCCACATGTAAGAGCTGGGGGTTGCGCAGGTTTTAGTCTTCCATGGGGCCATTTTGGGCCACATGTTTTTGAGCCACACGAAAAAAAGATTTCGCGAGGTGGACTTCGGGTTCCGCCCGGACGGTGCCGGGGAGGAGTCCGTTGAGAGCTGGCCAGGGGCACCCAGAGGGGTGGGGGGTGACCTCGCCGGGGGTGCCTGGAGTTGTTTTGAGGACCCGTACAAAAAGGGGTCGGTATCCAGAAGCAAAGGGTGGGCCCAGTTTTGAAGGGTCATGGAGACTCCAGGTAGGTTTTCTTGTGGGCATGGTGCATGACAATCAGATGGAAGACAAAAGATATGTTGGTTGTTTGAGTGTCATCGCCTTTAAAAGGAGACCTAAAAAGCGGCTATACTCAAACACCGAAATGTTCCCTGTTGTGAGGTAGACTAGACAGAGCATAGACATGAACCGTCCCTCCCAAAGATCGCTGGAGTATGCGGGGTGCTTTATCTTCATGGTTTCCAATGACGAAAAATCAAACTGGTGAAGCAACCCCAGAAAGAGTAAACCAGCCCTCCAATTAAGCATTTTGATTTCTTGGGGACTAGATGGAATATGGAGACAGTTAAACCCCCTCCCCTCAAGTGTACTTCCCTAAATTCCCTGCTCGGGACTGTGAATGGATGCCCAGATGGGGTCGACTTCTTGTGGAGAACCCCTTTTGCAGAGTCCTTGCGATTTTATGACCCAAGGTGTTTTGACCGCACACATGAGCAACGAGGGCACAAGCACCTCAGACTTTGTCTGAAATGATTCCCAATTGGGTAATGTTCCCTTTGGTTTTTCTAGGGGTTGATTCCACATTCTTTTCAACCATCGTTCTTTTCAAAAACCAGCCGTTTTCCCTGGTATTCTGGAGGTTTTCTAGAAATAATGATCCCTAGAAAGAATGGGAAAGGTACCCCTAGAGTTTTCCTTTGAATCAATCCCAAACAGGGCACGTACCTGGTGAGCTGACCTCAGC